AAGGCAAATGCCGGCGCGAGTGCCCTGAGCTCGAGACACCTGCTCGTGCATTGGCCCGGTTCTTCCAGAAAGGGGGGCAAACGTCCTCCCAGCACAGAGGGAGCCCTGCACACTGGCTCCTTGATTCCCACACATGGGCTGAGCTCTGCTCTCTGGAAGGCCCTGTGGGTGAGCAGTGAGGACACTAGGAGAAGCAGGACTCGTCCCAGCCATAGGGGACCGTGTCTAGCAGCCGCAGTCCCGGCAGGAAGGTGGGGAGGGGTGCCCTGAGACCCGCAGAAGAAGCGGAGGCAGGGTGAGGGGGGGTGTGGGTGCCGGGGCGAGCACTGCAGTGCAAATGCCCCCGGCCCGGCCCGGGACGGGGGGCTAGGGTGACCAGAGGGTCCCCGAGATTGCTTCTGTGCAGCTGGTCACCGGCAAGCTGGGTGGCGACACTGCCAGAGTCCCGTCTCTGCCTCCGTGTCAGGGAAGGCGGGGGGCAGGGTGCGAGCCTGTGTGTGAGGTGCACAGGCACGGGCTCAGCGGGGTGCCGGGGGCGGGGCCCCAACCTTGCCGGGCGGGGTCCAGGTGAGGAGCCCAGGGAGGCCCGAGGGACCCCCGGCCGGCCCGCTCCCGTCTCCTGCCCCCACGTAGCCCAGCGCGGAACCCATGTCGGCCCGACGTGCTGTGAGCCCTAGGGGACCCCTTCCTATGGGGTCCGGATGTGACGAGCGCCGACTTCCGCCTCGGAGGCGTGAGCGACGCCAGCACCTCCGTGTGTGCGAGGCCGGATCTCGGTCGGGCCAGGCCAGGCGTGCAGGTAGGCCCGCCCGTGCGGGAGCACAGAGTGGGGGGACCCCCAGGAGCCAGGTGGCCCATGCCGGCAGCCCCGAGAGACCCCGGGCAGGGACGGCGTCGTCCCGCTGAGCCCCTCCCGCCGGGGCCCAGGACCAAGGACACGGGTCCCCAGAGGGACGGGCCCGGGCCCTCCCTGGAGCGGGCTCCGGGGGCACACGGAGGACTGTGGGGGCCCCTCTTCCCCGCTCAGGTCCAGCCCCTCGGGCCCTGCCGCGGCCAGGCCCTGGGGGCCCCCCGGGGAGGGTGGCCCCAGGTGGCGGCCGTCCGCTGAAAGGCGCCTCGGGGCTGAGAGGGAGCTGAGGACCTTGGTCAGCGGGGAAGGACGCCAGGTCGGGGAGCGGCGGGGGGCGCACGGAGCCCCAGGGTGTCCAGGTGGGGACGGGGTGGGGATCGATCGCGGCCAGGACCCAGGGACTCTCGAGCTCAGGCCAGAGGGGACCTCAGCGAGGTCGGGCCCCAGGGTGAGTCCGGGACGGCCGCCGGGCGGGATGGGGACACGCGGCCAGTGCGGCCGGACTGGTGCACCCGGGTCTCCCGAGAGACTCTGGGGTCTTTGGCGGGGCCCAGGTCCTGCTGGGCTTCAGGCTGAGGATGCAGAGGGAGGGCAGAGGGTCCCCGGACCCCAGCACAGCGTCAGTCAGGGAAGGTCCTTGGGGGAGGGGATCGAGCACGTGGTGAGTCCGGACTTCCGCATCCGGGTCTCAGAGACTCTGGGGTCTTTGGCCGAAGGAGCAGGGACTCTCTGGTGGGCAGAGGGGCGGGCCCCGACCCTACTGGGCTTTATGGTGAGGATGCAGAGGGAGGACTGAGGGACCCTGGACCCCGGCACAGCCTCAGTCAGGGAAGGTCCGTGGGGGAGGGGATCGAGCACGTGGTGAGTCCGGACTTCCGCATCCGGGTCTCACAGACACTACGGTCCTTGGCAGAAGTAGCAGGACCTCCCTCCGGTGGGCAGAGGGGAGGGCTCAGGTCCTGCTGGGCTTCATGGTGAGGTTGCAGAGGGACGACTGAGGAACCGTCGACCCCAGCACAGCGTCAGTCAGGGAAGGTCCATTGAGGGGGAGGGGGATCATCGAGCACGTGGTGAGTCCGGACTTCCGCATCCGGGTCTCAGAGACACTGGGGGCCTTGGCAGAAGGAGCAGGGACTCTCTGGTGGGCAGATGGGTGGGCCCCGGCCCTACTGGGCTTTATGGTGGGGATGCAGAGGGACGACTGTGGGACCCTGAACCCCGGCACAATGTCAGTCACGGCAGTTCCGTGGCGGGGCGGGGGGGGGGGGGATGGGAACACGTGGTGAGTCCGGACATGCGCATCCGGGTCTCTGAGAGACTGAGGCGAGGGCCTGATGAAAGAAGCAGATGCTCAGGTGGGCAGAGGGGAGGGCCCTGGTGACCCAGTGGTGGGGGTGGGAGGGGGGGCGTGGGGAGGCCAGGGATAAACCCTGAGGAAGGACAGAGGGGAGCCCCCTAGAAGCCCACCCATGACGTCAGTCTAGGGAGGCCCCCCCCCCCTGGGCAGGATGGGGACACGTGGCCAGTGCGGCCGGACTTCTGCATCTGGGAGTCCCGAGAACCTGCGGTCTTGACGGATCAAAGGAGTAGGGCCTCCCTCAGGGGGGCAGAGGGGCGGGCCCAGGTCCTGTTGGGCTTCACCCTGAAGTTGCCGAGGGAGGACTGAGAGACCCTGGACCCCAGCCCAGAGTCAGTCCCTAGAGGCCCGAGTGGAGGACGGGGACACCCCGTTTGTGTCCGTGCGTGCGTTTGTGTGTCCCCCACTTGCCCATCTGGGTCTCCCAGAGGCTGGATGCCCCGGTGCCCGGGAGCGGATCCGTAGGCAGTAGAGACAGGCAAAGGCATAGGCACCCAGGGAGTCGTGGTGGAGATCAAGGAAGGCCCGAGAGACCTGGACGCCCCATCTCAGGCCCCGCTCTCAGCCCCGGGAAGCCCTAGGCTTCGTGGCCGCAGGAGTTGGCCACAGACTTAACCCGGTGGGCTCAGGGCAGGAAGGGCCTTGGTGTTGGCGGACGGCCTAGGGACAGCAGACGAAGGGGCCTAGGACCTGCTAGGGCTCGAGGCGAGGACCCCCAAGGGAGTCCCCAGGGAGCCCACAGGACCGCGGCCCTGATTCAGCCACCGCAGTCTCCTGGGATGGATGCGCCCACACAGTGCACGGCCACTTTGGCTTCAGGGCACCCGAGAACCCATGGCCATTTGGATGGAGCACTGCCTCAAGCATGGGGGTGGGGGTGGGGGCAATGGCCAACGTGTTGCTGGGCAGAAATGCGAGGACCAGAAGGAGGACTGCGGTTTTGGGGACAGCGAACAGATTCGGTCCCGGGAGGCCTCAGGAGGCCCCGGGGCCAGATGATCCCACAGGGCGTGCCCTGACTTCCCAGCCACATCTCCCAGAGCCTGGGGTCTGGGTGGAAGGAGCAGGCTTCAGGGCTGCCCAGGCTGACCCCGGGCCTGCCAGGATGGAAGGGGAGGACTAGAGGGAGGACTACCTGGGCCGCAGTACGTTCAGGCCAGGGAGGAGGCCCCTGTGGAGGAGGAGCCCATGCCTCCTGTCCTGAGGTCCAAATCTGGCTGTTAGAGACTGAGGGCCTGTGGTGAGAAGGAGCGGGCCTGGGGTGTAGCGGGCCTGTGTGTGTGTGTGTGACGGTGGAGGGTGGGGTCGGAGGGAGCGGGGCACAGGTCCGGTTCGGAGTCAGGGTGAAGACACTGGGGAAGGACTGGCCGTACCCCCTCCACCCCATAACAGCAAAGAAGCCAGTGCACTGGACTCTGGCCGTGCCCGATCCAGGCAGGGTCGGTCAGCGGTGGCCCAAATTGGCATGCGTGCTCACTTGTCTCATGGGCCAGAAGGTGGGAGTCCTCAGGGAGCTGAGGTCTTGGTGTGTGGGGCACATGAATTCTGTCTCACTTTGGGGACCTGGAAGAAGGGCAGGCCCTGGCAGGAAGAAAGATTAGAGTCCTGGGGGTCTAGGGCATTCCCACCGCAGGACAGAGGGGTCGGTCCCTACTGCCAGCCCTTTGGGATCTTGCCGGGGGCTGAGGGTGGGGGCTGTAGACGTGGCCGTGGACGAGGACGGGGTGGCCCCTCACCCTCCTCTCAGAGCTCTCAGGGAGGTGAGGACCACGCTAGGAGAGGTCGGGGTCAGGTCATCTGGGGAAGCCCACCTTGGAGACACACAGGAGTCCCTGCTCCTGCCGAGAGTCAATGCGGGGGCACCCGAGGGAGGAGTGAGGGACTCCCAACCCACCCCTCGGGACAAGGAAGTGATGGCCCAGGAATCTGTCCAGCCCCTGTCTGGCGGCCCTGGGAACCCTGGGCGGGGCGTGCCAGGTTGAGTCCCTCCTCCTGTCCAGATCCTTCCTCTGAAGATGGGGAGGGCCAGGGCCTGAGGGTCTGAACTCAGGTAGCAGAGGAGGCAGGTGCCCTGGCTCTGGGTGTGGCCCTGATTGTTGGGGGGAGATGAGAAATGAGGGGATGCCTCCCACAGCAGGATCCTCAGGGACCAGGCCTACCCTGCCGCTTCTGTCGGCCACGGGGAGACAGACAATCGGAGAGCCAAGTTATTTCTCCTGGCTTTTCCTTCTGATGTCTCCCAGACATGAGGCATCGGCACCAGGAGAGTGGCCTCAGGTTAACACAGGGAGTTCTCCCAGGCCTTCCGTGGGGTCAAGGTATAGACGGAGAGGTGCGCCCATCCAGGCACAGATGGAACCCCGAGCTTGGCCATCCCTGGGGTTCCGTGCTGAGCCCTTAGAGCTTTGTCAGGCGTGGGCAGATGTGGGCCCCCTTGCTTACCTTCCGTGGAGCCTCAGGGCTGCGGGGTCTTGCTGTGACCCTTTGGCCTCAGGCTGCGGGGTGGGGCCCAGGTCCTGCCAGGGGAAAGAGCAGTCCCCTGAGAGGCCAAGGAGGGGACCGCCCAGCTTGGACTGGTGGGGACCTCACAGAGTCCGCCCCAGCCCTCCTTCCCCACTGGGGCCCGGAGGCCGTGCTCTGTGCCTGCACCCTGAAGTGACTCCTCCTTTTGTCCGCCACGGGCTTCAGGCAGTCAGAGTTGAGGCCTAGGTCTGAGGCAGGAGCCTCTAAATTCCCAGAGTAGGCGCGGTGGAGGGGACTGCCGGTGGTCAAAGTGAGGTACTTGCTCTGAGCATGGAGCCAGGGGCTCGCCCATCCCAGCCCAGAGGGGACCCGTCAGCACCCAAGCCCGACGCAGCGTACTGTCAGCTCCGGGACTACAGGCCACTGCTGCCTGGGCTGCACCCTGAGGAGCCGTCCCATATCTTTCTTCAGGTTCAGCCCAACACAAACGCCATGCCCCTGGGTCAGAGGGGTGAGCTCTGGGAGCTGGAGGAAGACCCAGGCCCGGCCCAGGGCCTGGTGGAGGTACAGCTGTCCGGGGCTGGGGAGGAGGAGGCCCCATGCGCCCCCTCCTCCTCCTCCACCTCTGCCTCCTCCCAGTCCACTGCCCCATCTGTCTCCTGCTCTGCCCTGTTTCTGGTCCCCTCGGGGGAGGGGTCTGCTGCTGGGTTCCAGAGTCCTCCCCAGAGCTCTGTAAGTGCCCGCCCCTCCCCCAGTGCCGGGGCAGCCACTCCCTGGAGCCTGTCTGAAGATAGCTCCCCCTCATCCAACGAGGAAGAGCCCGGCCCTGGGCTAGAGCCCGGAGTGGCCCAGCCCCTGGTGCAAACTACACTCCACTTGAAGGCAGTCCACCTGGTGGCCTTCCTGCTCCTCAAGTATCGCACCCAGCAGCCGACCAGCCAGGCAGAGATGCTGGAGATCGTCGGCGAGGATGACCAGGACGCCTACCCCGTTCTCTTCGGCCAAGCCTCCAAGTGCATGCAGCTGGTCTTTGGCGTGGATGTGAAGGAAGTGGACCCCGGCGACCACTCCTACATCCTGGTCCCCGTCCTGGGCCTCACCTGGGATGGGATGCTGAGCGGTGGGCAGGGCTTGCCCAAGACCAGCCTCCTAGTGCTGGTCCTGGCGCTGATCCTCCTGGAGGACGACCATGCCCTTGAGGAGGAGGTGTGGGAAGAGCTGGGGGCCATGGGGGTGTATGCCGGCCAGGAGCACATCATCTATGGGGAGCCCAGGGAGCTCCTCACCAATGTCTGGGTGCAGGAAGGGTACGTGGAGTACCGGCAGGTGCCCGGCAGCGACCCTGCCCGCTACGAGTTCCTGTGGGGTCCCAGGGCCCACGCCGAGACCAGCAGGTTGCAAATGACGGAGTATTTCCTCCAGCTCGATGTCGAGGAGCCGGCTTCCTCCCTGGCCGTGTCTGAAGGGGCTGTGAGAGATGAGGAAGACGGGGCCTGAGCCCCGGGGTCCGCCAGGCCCTTTCCAGGCTTTGGTGGGGTCGGCAGCTTCTCCTCCAGGGTGCTGGGCATGAAGTGAGGCCGCTTGTTGGTCCTTCCCTGTGTGTGTTTGTGTGTGTTTGTGTGTGTGCGTGAAGACAGAGCCCTGGGCGTTTTAAGGAGTGCAGGGCCAGGGAGGGTTGGGGGAAGAAAGCAGGGCAAGGAGCCTCCTGGGGGTGGGGGGGTTGTTCCCTGGGGTGACTCCCACATCCAGAGCTTGGTGTCCTTGAGGAGGCTGTCCTGTGGGGTTCCTTGCCATAGAAGGTTTCATCCGTTTCAGCGGCGGAGCGTGTGAGTGACATCCACCCCGCAGCATTTGTCCGTACCCAGTTGAAGAGTTAAAGAGTTTTATCATGTTCTGGGGGCACCTGGGTCCTCTGTTGGTTAAGCATGTGCCATCGGCTCAGGTCATGATCTCAGGATCCTGGGTTGGAACCCCACATTGGGCTCCCTGCTCAGTGGAGACTCTGCTTGTCTCTCCCTCTGTGTGTGCTCTTTCACAATAAAAAAATAAATATCTTTAAGAAAAAAAGAGTTTCGTCATGTCCTGGACACCTTGCCTACTTGTTTGGCCTCTGGACCGAAATGATAGGGAATTGGCCTAGGGATGGGTTGAAAAGGCGAAAGAATGGAACAAGCAGGGGACGGGGGTCAGAAGCTGGAGAAATAAAAGTTTGTTGGTTGTTGCTTCTGAGGCCTTCCCGGCCATCATTGTGCAAATGCGAAACGCAAGCACACACACACACGCGTGCTCGTGCATTGGCCCGGTTCTTCCAGAAAGGGGGGCAAACGTCCTCCCAGCACAGAGGGAGCCCTGCTCACTGACTCCTTGATTCCGAGACATGGGCTGAGCTCTGCTCTCTGGAAGGCCCTGTGGGTGAGCAGTGAGGACACTAGGAGAAGCAGGACACGTGCCAGCCATAGGGGACCGTGTCTAGCAGCCGCAGTCCCGGCAGGAAGGTGGGGAGGGGTGCCCTGAGACCCGCAGAAGAAGCGGAGGCAGGGTGAGGGGGGTGTGGGTGCCGGGGCGAGCACTGCAGTGCAAATGCCCCCGGCCCGGCCCGGGACGGGGGGCTAGGGTGACCAGAGGGTCCCCGAGATTGCTTCTGTGCAGCTGGTCACCGGCAAGCTGGGTGGCGACACTGCCAGAGTCCAGTCTCTGCCTCCGTGTCAGGGAAGGCGGGGGGCAGGGTGCGAGCCTGTGTGTGAGGTGCACAGGCACGGGCTCAGCGGGGTGCCGGGGGCGGGGCCCCAACCTTGCCGGGCGGGGTCCAGGTGAGGAGCCCAGGGAGGCCCGAGGGACCCCCGGCCGGCCCGCTCCCGTCTCCTGCCCCCACGTAGCCCAGCGCGGAACCCATGTCGGCCCGACGTGCTGTGAGCCCTAGGGGACCCCTTCCTATGGGGTCCGGATGTGACGAGCGCCGACTTCCGCCTCGGAGGCGTGAGCGACGCCAGCACCTCCGTGTGTGCGAGGCCGGATCTCGGTCGGGCCAGGCCAGGCGTGCAGGTAGGCCCGCCCGTGCGGGAGCACAGAGTGGGGGGACCCCCAGGAGCCAGGTGGCCCATGCCGGCAGCCCCGAGAGACCCCGGGCAGGGACGGCGTCGTCCCGCTGAGCCCCTCCCGCCGGGGCCCAGGACCAAGGACACGGGTCCCCAGAGGGACGGGCCCGGGCCCTCCCTGGAGCGGGCTCCGGGGGCACACGGAGGACTGTGGGGGCCCCTCTTCCCCGCTCAGGTCCAGCCCCTCGGGCCCTGCCGCGGCCAGGCCCTGGGGGCCCCCCGGGGAGGGTGGCCCCAGGTGGCGGCCGTCCGCTGAAAGGCGCCTCGGGGCTGAGAGGGAGCTGAGGACCTTGGTCAGCGGGGAAGGACGCCAGGTCGGGGAGCGGCGGGGGCGCACGGAGCCCCAGGGTGTCCAGGTGGGGACGGGGTGGGGATCGATCGCGGCCAGGACCCAGGGACTCTCGAGCTCAGGCCAGAGGGGACCTCAGCGAGGTCGGGCCCCAGGGTGAGTCCGGGACGGCCGCCGGGCGGGATGGGGACACGCGGCCAGTGCGGCCGGACTGGTGCACCCGGGTCTCCCGAGAGACTCTGGGGTCTTTGGCCGAAGGAGCAGGGCCTCCCTCTGGTGGGCAGAGGGGTGGGCCCAGGTCCTGCTGGGCTTCAGGCTGAGGGTGCAGAGGGAGGACTGAGGGTCCCCGGACCCCAGCACAGCGTCAGTCAGGGAAGGTCGGTTGGGGGGGGGATAGGAGCACGTGGTGAGTCCGGACTTCCGCATCCGGGTCTCAGAGACTTTGGGGTCTTTGGCCGAAGGAGCAGGGCCTCCCTCTGGTGGGCAGAGGGGTGGGCCCAGGTCCTGCTGGGCTTCAGGCTGAGGGTGCAGAGGGAGGACTGAGGGTCCCCGGACCCCAGCACAGCGTCAGTCAGGGAAAGTACGTGGGGGAGGGGATCGAGCACGTGGTGAGTCCGGACTTCCGCATCCGGGTCTCACAGACTCTGGGGGCCTTGGCAGAAGGAGCAGGGCCTCCCTCTGGTGGGCAGTTGGGTGGGCCCCGGCCCTACTGGGCTTTATGGTGAGGATGCAGAGGGACGACTGAGGGACCCTGGACCCCGGCACAATGTCCGTCAGGGAAGTTTCGTGGCAGGGCTGGGGGGGGGGGGATGGGAGCACGTGGTGAGTCCGGACATGCGCATTCGGGTCTCTGAGAGACTGAGGCGAGGGCCTGATGAAAGAAGCAGATGCTCAGGTGGGCAGAGGGGAGGGACCTGGCGACCCAGTGGCGGGGGTGGGAGGGGGGGCGTGGGGAGGCCAGGGATAAACTCTGAGGAAGGACAGAGGGGAGCCCCCTAGAAGTCCACCCATGACGTCAGTCTAGGGAGGCCCCCCCCTGGGCGGGATGGGGACACGTGGCCAGTGCGGCCGGACTTCTGCATCTGGGACTCCCGAGAACCTGGGGTCTTGACGGATCAAAGGAGCAGGGCCTCCCTCAGGGGGGCAGAGGGGCGGGCCCAGGTCCTGCTGGGCTTCACCCTGAAGTTGCCGAGGGAGGACTGCGAGACCCTGGACCCCAGCCCAGAGTCAGTCCCTAGAGGCCCGAGTGGAGGACGGGGACACCCCGTTTGTGTCCGTGCGTGCGTTTGTGTGTCCCCCACTTGCCCATCTGGGTCTCCCAGAGGCTGGATGCCCCGGTGCCCGGGAGCGGATTCGTAGGCAGTAGAGACAGGCGAAGGCATAGGCACCCAGGGAGTCGTGGTGGAAATCAAGGAAGGCCCGAGAGACCTGGACTCCCCATCCCAGGCCCCGCTCTCAGCCCCGGGAAGCCCTAGGCTTCGTGGCCGCAGGAGTTGGCCACAGACGTAACCCGGTGGGCTCAGGGCAGGGAGGGCCTTGGTGTTGTCGGGCGGCCTAGGGACAGCAGACGAAGGGGCCTAGGACCTGCTAGGGCTCGAGGCGAGGACCCCCAAGGGAGTCCCCAGGGAGCCCACAGGACCGCGGCCCTGATTCAGCCACCGCAGTCTCCTGGGATGGATGCGCCCACACAGTGCACGGCCACTTTGGCTTCAGGACATCCGAGAACCCATGGCCATTTGGATGGAGCACTGCCTCAAGCATGGGGGTGGGGGTGGGGGCAATGGCCCACGTGTTGCTGGGCGGAAATGCGAGGACCAGAAGGAGGAATGCAGTTATGGGGACAGCGAACAGATTCGGTCCCGGGAGGCCCCGGGGCCAGATGATCACACAGGGCGTAACCTGACTTCCCAGCCACATCTCCCAGAGCCTGGGGTCTGGGTGGAAGGAGCAGGCTTCAGGGCTGCCCAGGCTGACCCCGGGCCTGCCAGGATGGAAGGGGAGGACTAGAGGGAGGACTGCCTGGGCCGCAGTACGTTCAGGCCAGGGAGGAGGCCCCTGTGGAGGAGGAGCCCATGCCTCCTGTCCTGAGGTCCACATCTGGCTGTTAGAGACTGAGGGCCTGTGGTGAGAAGGAGTGGGCCTGGGGTGTAGCGGCCCTGTGTGTGTGTGTGTGAGGGTGCAGGGTGGGGTCGGAGGCAGCGGGGCACAGGTCCGGTTGGGAGTGAGGGTGAAGGCACTGGGGGAGGACTGGCCGTACCCCCTCCACCCCATCTCAGCAAAGAAGCCAGTGTACTGGACTCTGGCCGTGCCCGATCCAGGCAGGGTCGGTCAGCGGTGGCCCAAAGTGGCATGCGTGCTCACTTGTCTCATGGGCCAGAAGGTGGGAGTCCTCAGGGAACTGAGGTCTTGGTCTGTGGGGCACATGGCTTCTGTCTCACTTTGGGGACCTGAAAGAAGGGCAGGCCCTGGCAGGAAGAAAGAGGATTAGTGTCCTGGGGGTCTGAGGGCATCCGCACCCCAGGACAGAGGGGCCGGTCCCTACTGCCAGCCCTTTGGGATCTTGCCGGGGGCTGAGGGTGGGGGCTGTAGACGTGGCCGTGGACGAGGACGGGGTGGCCCCTCACCCTCCTCTCGGAGCTCTCAGGGAGGTGAGGACCACGCTGGGAGAGTTCGGGGTCAGGTCATCTGCGGAAGCCCTCCTTGGACACACACAAGAGTCCCTGCTCCTGCCAAGAGTCAATGTGGGGGCACCCGAGGGAGGAGTGAGGGACTCCCAACCCACCCCTCGGGACAAGGAAGTGGTGGCCCAGAAATCTGTCCAGCCCCTATCTGGCCTCCCTGGGAACGCTGGGCGGGGCCTGTCAGGCTGAGTCCCTCCTCCTGTCCAGATCCTTCCTCTGAGGATGGGGAGGGCCAGGGCCTGAGGGTCTGGACTCAGGTAGCAGAGGAGGCAGGTGCCCTGGCTCTGGGTGTGGCCCTGATTGTTGGGGGGAGATGAGAAATGAGGGGATGCCTCCCACAGCAGGATCCTCAGGGCCCAGGCCTACCCTGCCGCTTCTTTCGCCCATGGGGAGACAGACAATCGGTGAGCCAAGTAATTTCTCCTGGCTTTT